ACCTCAGTGATCCTGGGACTCTGTTATAGCAAGAATCAGTCTCTCAGCTCTTGCAACACCCCACTGTCCTGGCAGATGTTTGTGCTGATGACACACAAATGCCAATCGTTTTCAGACGCTCTCAGCTGGAAGATCCCTGAAATCTTCTGCTGGCTTTACAAGGAGGGGAACCTCTCTGCAGAGGAGATGGCCCAGACCTTTCCCTGTGGGCTCGGGGCGGTGCTGGTGGTGCAGCAGGACCTGGCCCAGCACGTCCTGGGGGCCATCCGGAGGCGGGAGGAAGCTTGGCTCATCGGGAAGGTGGTTGCCCCGTGTCACACAGGTTAGCAGGGTCCTCGTGGGAGGCAAAGCCCCAGAAGTGACCCAGAGCGTGGTTTGCTCTCCCTTCAGTGGGGTTTGCACTTAGGGATGTGTTGTTTGGTTTTAAAGTGGAGACAGGGTGAGTTGTTTTGGGGGGTGATTCTGGGAAGTGCTGAGCGTGTCCTGGGAGCCATCGGGTGCCCGCAGCTCTGGAGGCCCTGAGACTCCCTGTTGCAAAAGTTGTGTGGTTCACATCTTTTCCCCCTTGTTTCACCAGGCTGGAGGCTCTTTGACACCTCCACATCCACATTCCCTTATCAAATAGTGAGGAATGAATGTTGCTTCAGAGTGACAGTACCTGGATAACCTGTTACCCAGGTACCTTCTGGAGGCTCCAGTAAATCCCTCAAATATCAGCTGTTTTACCACAATCCTGGTAGTCAACTCACCTCCTTCCCAGCCTGCACAGATCCATGTAAAGGCTGAGGATCTGTGCATCTGATGAGCTGTGGATGGTCTGTGTGATGGTAGGGCTGAAGGTGTGTCCATTGACTGACATCCAGCATGATGTGAGCCAAAATCCCTCTGGAAACCAAACACTTTGGGCAGCCAAAATGTCACCTCAGCTCCATCAACACGGGTTTTAGTGTCATTTTGCAACATGAGAGGAAGAGGAGGATGGGAATAACAGATGGGGCTAAGCCTTGAGAAGGCCAGGCCATGCCCAGGCCCTTTGAACACCTCTGGGAGTGAGTAACACAAAAGGGATCAGCACAACCCCTGTGAGCTGGGCTGGTCAAGCAGTGAGTGCCTTTGTAGTCCCACCAGTGCCAGCAGAAACTCGTTGCTGATGCACCTTCTTGTCATTGAAACTTATTGTTAATAAACCATATTCAAGTTCATAAGTTCAACAGGGTCAGTTCAGAGGGCAAAGTCACGTCTAACGCTTTCCTCCTGTCTTTGGAGGAGGTTCCCACATCCAGGTGGAGAACCTGGTGGAGGCCCTGCAGCAGAGCAGCCCCCAGGGCCTGCTGGGTGACACCACCATGGAGCCTCGGCACCAGCCCAGGAGGAGAAAGGTGAAGGTGGCAGTTCTCGTCTCTGGAACAGGTGAGCTTCCATTGTCCTGGCACAGGGAAATGTCCTGGCACGGGAGAGCTTGGACTCAGCCCTGACCCAGGTGCATCTGCCTTGACTTTCCTTCAGGAGAGTCTACAGACCTTCTGAAGCCAGGCTTGCACTTTGACCAGAGTCCAGGAGGTGTGTTGTGCTGCTTAAAGGAGCTGTGTCAGTGCTCCAGTTCCTTTGTGCTGTTTGGACAGTTGTGACAAACCAGATTTTTGTTGGATGAGCAGGGCTGGGAGCTCGTCCCAGTGCCTGGGGGCTCATGTGTGTCCCCCCTGTTTGCTCTGTGTGTCTGAGGCACGACCCTCCCCGCGCTCATCGCTTACACCAGGGAGCCAGGCAGCTGTGCCCAGGTCGTCCTTGTCATCTCCAACAAGTCTGGCGTGGAAGAACTCCGGAATGCAGCCCGGGCTGGAATTCCCACCAGGGTAAAGACACCCGTTTCCTTTCCTTCTTCTCCCCAGCTCCCGACCCCGGAGCAGTTCAGGAAGCGCCTGTGAGCAGTCAGGGGTCACTGCTGGGGAGAACTTTCCCTGTGGGTCAGTGCCTGGAGCACACAGCTGGCAGGGCTGGAAGGAGGGGCAGGGCTGGAAGGAGGGGCAGGGCTGGGAGTCCTCACAGGGGGCTGGGAGTCCTTCCCAGCTCGTCAGGGAGGGGTACAGCCAGAGTTAGGAAGGGATTTAAACTGCTGGTTTGGGTCTGAGATTGCAGCCCATGAGCTTCAACCTTTGGCTGAAATCAGTGAGACTTCAGGTTCTGCAAAACACATGAACATGTTTCCCCTGGGCTTATCCCTTCTCAGAATCATAAAATCCCAGACTGGTTTGGGTTGGGAGGGACCTTAAAAACCATCCAGTGCCACCTCTGCCATGGGCAGGGACACCTTCCACCAGCCCAGGTTGCTCCAAGCCCCGTCCAACCTGGCCTTGGGCACTTCCAGGGGTCCAGGGGCAGCCACAGCTTCTCTGGGCAACCTGGGCCAGGGCCTCCCCACCCTCACAGCCAGGAATTCCTTCCCAGTATCCCATCTCTCCCTGCCCTCTGGCAGTGGGAAGTCATTCCCCCTTGTCCTGTCCTTCCAGGCCCTTGTTCAAAGTCCATCCAAGTCCCTCTCCAGGTCTCTTCAGACACTGGAAGGGGCTCTGAGGTCTCCCCAGAGCCTTCTCTTCTCCAGGATGAAAACCTGTGTCTCATGTTGTGCTGAATAATCCCACAATCATCAAGGCTGGGAGAGACCTCCAGGATCACCCAGTCCCACCCCAGCACCACCAGGATCACCCCCAATCCATGTCCCCAAGGGCCACATCCAGACACCTCTGGGACACTCCCAGACACAGGGACTCCACCACCTCCCTGGGACACTTATTCCAAGGCCTGACCACTCCTGCAGGGAAAAATTGTTTCTAATCTCCAACCTGAACCTGCCCTGGGGCAATTTTAGGCCATTTCCTCTCCTCCTTTCCCTTGGGACATGAAAGAGTCTGGCCCCCACCTCACTCATGGAGTGCCCTGGAATGAATGCAGTTTGTTCCTCTTTGCTGCCCAGGTTGTTGCCCTCAATCCCACCGAGCTGTTCCCATGAATGGTTTTGCTGTTGGAATGTTCCAGGTGATTGACCACAAGTTGTACGGGAGTCGCTCGGAGTTCGACAGCACAATCGACCGAGTGCTGGAGGAGTTTGCTGTGGAGCTGGTCTGTCTGTCAGGGTTTATGAGGGTTTTGTCCAGCCCTTTCCTCCGAAAATGGAAAGGTAAGAAATGTTAAGTGTAGAAGGGAACCTATACAGGGATGGTGGGTCTCACCAGGACTCCCCTGCTGGAGTTCTGTCCTTTGGTCAATCCCTCAGCCTCGCTGGCACTGAGGACATTCCAGCAGGGGGGCTGCCCTGTGCTTCCAGTCCTTCTGGCAGTGGGATTCTGCCTGTGGATTGGCACAGAAACCCCTTGTGCTGCATCAGGAGTGACAGGGGGCAGAGGCAGGGCACAGACTGGCTCTGCTGCCTCCCCTGGGAAGGGCTTTGATCCCACCCTTTGCCAAGGAGCTCTGCTGGGGGGTCCTGCTGAACTCACTCCCTGCAGTTTCCTGTTAGAAAAAATGGGAGAGAGACTGATTTCTCCCGGAAGAGCAGAATTCCCTCAGACCAGGCCAGAGGTGCTCAGAGCTGTTTGGAACCACTGATCTCATCTCACTTATATTTTTTAAGGAAATTCAGTTCAAATTATCATTTCTTCTCTTTTTTTTTTTTTTTTTTTTTTTTTTTTTAACTCCTCTCTAATGTCCAGGGAAAATTTTGAATGCTTCTCCCTCACTTTTTCCACTCATCAAGGATGGAAATGCCCCTCAGGAGCCCCCCCAAAGTGGATTCAAGGTCACAGGCTGCACCGTGCATTTTGTCCTGGTGAGTGTCTTTAGGAAAAGGAATTGGCTTTTTTCTTTCCTTTCTGAAGGCAGAGGCAGGCAGAGGGAACAGGGAGGTGTGGGAACCTTGGGGTTGTTACCAGTAAAAGGCGTGGGGTTGTGTTGTATTTGGGGTTTCTAAAAGTCCCCTTTTCTTCCTTTGTATTTTGGGGTGATTTTTGCAGTTTCTCCCACTCTCAGCACTGCCCGGGGCCTGCCATCCCTGATGTCCCCCTGGGGTCACGGAGGTGTCCCTTGGGCAGGTGGCACCTCTCCAGCCTGCCATCCCACGTCCCTCCCTGATGTCCCTCCCTGATGTCCCTCCTTGATGTCCCTCCCTGATGTCCCCCGGGGTCACAGAGGTGTCCCTTGGGCAGGTGGTCCCTCTCCAGGTGCACTCGGAGCCTCCTGCCCTCGACCACCCGCGTGCCCACCGAGATCTCTGCCCCGTCAGCATCACCCAGAACCTCCCCGAGCCCGCTCAGCACCCCCTCTGAACCCCCACCTGTCCCATTCCAGGAGGACTCCGGCCCCAGGGCCGTGATCCACCGGGAGCCCATCCCCGTGCGGGCGGAGGACACGGAGCAGGCGCTGGCGGAGCGGGTGAAGGAGGCCGAGTGCCGCGCCTTCCCCGTGGCCCTGCAGCTCGTGGCCAGCGGGGCCGTGAGCCTGGGAGCCGATGGAAGAACCTCCTGGAAGCAGGAGAGCCAAAGTCTGGGGCTGCACGGGGAGAAGGGAGACTGCACGTCCTCCCTCGTGGCTCCGGAGCCTCCGGAACACGGTGGGGAGTAGGCGGGTAAGGAGGGGCTCGTTTGTGCTCACCTTCCCTCCCCCTCCTCCTCCCTGTGCTGCTCTCTGATGTGTCCATGGCTCAGGTTTCCACTCCCAGCTTTTCCCTCAGCTCACAGCTTTCCTTACACTCCTCTCGGAAAACCGGCGGTGGAAGCCAAGCTGTGCTTTCAGATTTGGAATTTCTTGGTTCTGTTCTTTGGTCTGTGAAGGACATAACGAGTCCCAGGGATGGCTCCGGCTGTGGAACTGCTCCGCTGCTCCCGAGGGAAAGTCATTCTTCCAAGGGATCCGTTTTTGTGGCTGCACACACAGCAGAGCCCTGGGAGCTTCCCAAAACAACCCCAGACAGGGACTGGGGAGAGCCCTGGGAGCTTCCCAAAACAACCCCAGACAGGGACTGTGCTGCTCT